TGCAAACAAAAGCGAACCACACATACGTATTAGAACAACCAGCCCAAACGAAAGGTATAAGACAAGATAACAATAACTCATGAACACCTTAGGGTACATTCCACTCTGGACATGTCCCAATCTTATATGTCCCAATCGGTTCCACCGCACTGCATCTTATTACACCGAATTACACCCTAGTTTCAACATTGTCAAAATTTTCGCGTCTCTGGTTTAGTCCGGTTCGGAGCGGTACACCTGATTGGGACATGTCCAGAGCGGAATGTACCCTTATCTCGAACAAAAAGGCATTAGGGTACTCAAGACACATACCACGTCCTTGCCAATGTACAAGGAGAGGTTGTATGAGGCGGGCAGCGGCACCAGGGGCAGCAGGGGGGATTATGCTGGCACTGAGAGTCAACGACTCCTTGGCAGGAGCACTCATGGAGAGGGCAGGGAAGGCGGTGGGTGTGACTGTCAGCACTGTGTTGCTGCTGAACGGGGTAGTTGCGAGCGACGCCTGACTGACCAGGGTAATTGGGAAGACTAGCCCCACACCCACAGCCTGGAGTGTTGAGGGGAATAAAAGGGAAATGGCTTGCCGTTGGTCACATGACAAGATCATTACCAGACTACATGGCAAGGCAATGGCTGTGCAGAGATCAGAGATCTCGATGCTGCTTTTGCACAAGCAATTCCTGGCAGGAAGGTTGGGAGTGGTTTCTCCAGTTCCTCACCTTGCTGTTGTTGCCTGCAATGAAGGGCATGGCGTCAAAGGCCCCAGGGAGAGGAGTGGGTCCCTTGGATGGCACCATGATGTACCCGATTCCCTTCATGGCCCTGGTGGGATGCAACCATGCAACGAAACCATGCGCACACACACACAAAGACAGAAACGGAAGTGCAGAGCAAAACGCTGAGTAATGAAACGCATCAATACAGAGCACACAAACGCAGGGTGAGGACCACAGGAAAAGAAAAACTCACAATGGACCAGATTATATGAGAGAACGTAATGTTGCTCCTCACAGGGGGTCCACGCGGATGGAGGGGAGGCGCATGGTGGAGCCAGCGGACCACAGAGGACTGCTGAATGAATAGGTACTATCTCTACTCACAGGGGGTCCACGCGGATGGAGGGGACGCGCATGGTGGAGCCAGCGGGCTGGCGCACAAACATCTCCGTGAAGAGAAACCCCACCGACGTCCCGCCGCCATTCACCACTGGCGGACTCCCAAACGCCTGCGCCACCGTGACCTCAGCGCCCTCGTCCGTGGAGCAGACGTACCCGCGCAGCTTCCCATTGTCTGTTTCCGTGCATATGCTGCCGATTTGGCTGGCCGTGGCCTCGTCCAGGAAGGAGAAGGTGAGGTAGACGTAGCAGGAGAGGCAGATGTCTGAGCCTGACATGAGATATGCGGGAACGGCCTGATCAGCGGTTACTTTGGTGGTGTTGTCTGCAGGGGGATGAGAGGGACGTGGGATGGGAAGTGGGGAGAGAGGAGTGTGTGAGTGTGACGGGAATGGTGGGTCCGGAGAAGGCGAGAGGCGAGAAGGGAGGGTATAACTACTTATTGCTGACGCTTGGTTTGGTAGTGTAGTGTTCAAGCCTGTCAACTGCATACGTCAGGACATGACGAAACGTGGGGCGGAAGCATGAAAGCCGCATGAATGCATGCATTCATGCTGGCATGGAGTGTTTACTCGTACATATGGGTAGCAGGAGGAAGGGCTGAAGGACATGATGATGTGCTTGACGTCCGTGAGAGATGAGAAGCCTGCATGCAGAAAGGCGGCGAATCAGGCAACCAAAAGACGAGGATGAATGGAGGGACAGTTTGGCAAGAAGCGGACTAATGACGAACGCATGGAGAAGGGAAGAAGGGAGAGAGAAAAGATAGAGGGAAGAGGAGGGATGGGGGTTGGGAGAGGAGGATGGAGTGGAAGCGAAAGGGAGCGTATGTTGAAGAATGCTGTTCGTTGGGTGTGTTCAAGCAGACAGAAAAGCAACTCACTGCGCGGTAAATCAAACCTAAGCCCATAACTGAAGTACGGACAGCTAAGCTGCTGTAATTGGTTCGTGTTGCATGATGGCACTCACTGGACGGCAGAGTGTATTTCTCAACAATGTACTCTTGCTTGGGTGTAACCGACTTGATCCGAGTCGACTCAAAACAAGGCATGATGGCACTCACTGGACGGCAGAGTGTATTTCTCAAAAATGTACTCTTGCTTGGGTGTAACCGACTTGATCCGAGTCGACTCAAAACAAGGCATGATGGCACTCACTGGACGGCAGAGTGTATTTCTCAACAATGTACTCCTGCTTGGGTGTAACCGACTTAATCCAGTCCGGTAGGTTCGCCTGCAGTAGAAACGCGCATCAATGAGGAAGGGAATTTGTAGTAAGAAAGAGACGATCAGACATTTCTGAAACGAGATTGCTCAATGAGGAGCACTGTCGTACACGTATAGTCTAAAAATAGAAACCAGAAGCGTTGTAAGACAATTGAACGACTCGGGTCTGACACGATCACGACGCAGCACAATTGAACGAACCATCCGACCAAATCCCGTACTGACGAACGAACTTTATGAACGAACAAACGACCGAACGAATCAACGAACGAACCGAAGGAACTAACCTGCACGCGGATCTGATTGCGATTGGGTCCGACATCAACGCGCAAGTAACCTCCGAATAAGTTGGTGGTGAAATTCGCGTTCATGGTGCTCTGAGCCAAACACCTGAAAGACGAAAGGTACTGTCAAGAAAATACAGAGAGTAGGCAAACGAAGGAAGGCGAGAAACTTTGAAAGATCTTAATTGATCCAAAATATCTACCCGAGGAAAGCAGTGCGGAGGTGGCGATGAGAACGAGGAGAGAAATGCTTGACGGCGACGCGAGCTTCGTCGACGCCATGGCTCCGCACTGACAGAGCTACTAGCAGAACCAGGAAACAGAACAAAAAACTGCTGATGGAAAAATGCTGATCGCTAATTGAAGTACACACACAGCAAACGAGTTTCCTGTGCAAGGAACGAACACAGGATCGCGGACTCCTGATTCATGCATGGGTCATGGCGTACGCTCGCATATAATCCAAGCTGGCTGGTTTGGTTCGGTAAGGTAAGGAGGGGAGAGAGCCCCTAGCTGGTTTGGTTCGGATGCCGTACGTCCTCGCAGGAACCAATCGAGCACGTACGGCGGCACTGTTGCCGTGGGTGGCACTGCCACCCCGTGCGGAAGACGTTTTGTCCCCACATTACTCATAATACAAGAATCGAGTCAACATAGTCGTACAAATGTTCTCGATTAGAGTCCCAGTGAAAAAAAAGCGCGCTGCGGGCCTTTGTGGAAAACTGTTACGGGTGCAATGAATCGAGGTAGCGAGAATTGCACTAAGGTGTCAAACGAGTACAAAATGTGAGCGAAGGCATGAGCGAACATTTATACGCGAAACATGCAAAACGGTAACGCGGTGCGTGCGAGCTTGCTAGTGCTACGCTGGAGCGAGGCTCGGGCTAGTCCCGAAGCGTAGGCCGATACGGCCATGCCAGCAGTGCGAGGTTTGGCAAAACAGTGCCGCGCGAAGTCGGCGAAGTTCCGTTAGCAGTAACGGGCGAACAATCGGCTGTTGCTGTACGCGATGTAGTCGGCTCCGTAAGGAATGCCGAGAAAATTCCTTACACTACCCCCCCCCCTTAAGAAGCCCCCTCCGCTACGCGAGTGCGTGTATATCGCGGAATCCCCGGCTCCTCAGGTACACTTGCAGGGCAGAGTGGTTTTCGATGTTGGGTAGGGGCCCCAGCTGTCTTCAGTTGGCGTGCGGTCCTTCCAGCGAACGAGGAATTCAATCCTCCTGATTCCCGTGGGGTGGCGGATCCGATGGCTCAGGATTTTTTCGGGCTCGATGATCGGCTCCGATGCAGGGCGAGTCATTGATTGTGGGCGGTGACGCGGCAGTTGACTTGTGGTCGGGATGTATGGGCGAAGTAGGCTGACGTGGAACGACGGGCTGATGTACCAGTCGGTTGGCAACAGTAGGTGTGCGGTGACGGATGTGATCATGTGACTGATTTGGAATGGTCCACAGTAGCGCGGTCGTAATTTCGGTACGTCGGGCAGTCGCAGATTTTGCGTGTCGAGCAGCACGTAATCTCCAGATTGGTACGTGACAGGGCGGCGGTGGCGATCAGCGTTGCGCTTAGCGATGACGTTGGCCTTTTTTATTGCTTCGGCGGCTCTGGCGCGGGCAGCTTGCAGGACTTCGGCGAATTGTTGTGCACGTGGCGTTGGGTTGTCCGGACTCGGCGTCATGGGCACTGTGGGGTTTTGCCCATAGTTCAGGTAGAACGGGGACTGCTGCGTCGTGGCTGATGTGGCGTTGTTGTACGCAAACTCGATCAGCGGCAGCTGCTGCTCCCAGGTCGTGGGGTCGTCGCACGTGGCACGAATCAACTGCTCCATCGTCTGATTCGTCCGTTCCGTTTGGCCGTCGGTCTCGGGGTGGTACGACGAACTGAACTGTAGCCTGGTTCCGAACTGCTCCCAGAGGTTCTTCCAGAAGTTGCTGGTAAACTTCGTGTCCCTGTCGCTGATAATTGCTGCTGGTATCCCGTGCAGGCGAACAACGGCTGCGATGAACAGGCGAGCGGTTTCCTCGGCTGAGATCGACTTTTTGCATGCAGCGAAGTGTGCCATCTTCGTCAGCCTATCCACGACGACCATCACCGCGTCGTTACCCCCAGGGTTCGAAGGTAACCCTGTGACGAAGTCCATGGTTACTTGCTGCCAGGCGCGTTCGGGCGGTGGGATCGGCTGCAATTGACCCGCCTTCCGCTTCCTTGAACTCTTCATCACCTGACACGTAGGGCACGAGCCCACGTGCTGCTGTACGTCGGTCAACAGCTCCGGCCAGTAATAGTACCGCTGCAGTTGCTGTCGTGTTTTTTTCTACCCCGAAATGTCCCGAGGTAATCCCGTCGTGTGCCTCCTGTAGTAGCAGCTCCCTCAGTAGTGAGTACGCTGGTACCCAAATGCGGTTGGTGCCTGTTTTAACATAATAACTCCTTTTGCTTCTGCCAGTTGCTGTGAATTCCCGGTCGTGAAGAATGGGTCGATGCGGTATCCGTGGGTGAATAGGCCAGTTAAAGCGGGTTGGTCTGGGCGAGTAGGATGGCGTGGAGCTGGGCGGTGGGGCGGGTGAGAGCGTCGGCTATGTTGGATGCGCCTTTTTTGTACGTAACGGTGTAGTGAAAATTGGACTCAAGATAGTCCAACCAGCGAATCTGTCGTGGGTTGAGATTCGGTTGGGCGCGAAGGTACTGTAGTGAGCGGTGGTCTGTCCGTACTGTCACGTCGGCGCCAGTCAGGTAACACCGCCAAACTTTGAACGCGTGCACGATCGCCATCATTTCGCGGTCGTGTATCGGGTAGTTGCGTTCGGGCGGGTGTAACTTGCGGGACTCGTACGCGATTGGCTGGAGGCCGTTCCCGAAGTCCTGCAACAGTACTGCTCCCACAGCGATGTCACTTGCGTCGGTGACGAGCTCGAACGGACGGTGGGGATCTGCAATGCGAAGGACGGGCGGGGAGCACAAAATATTTTTGAGGGTCGAGAAGGCAGCTTGCTCTTCTCCCCCACGTGTACTCAACCCCCTTCCTCAGCAGGTCAGTCAACGGGGCAGTCAGCTTTGCCATGTCGGGGGACGAACCGGCGCATGTAGTTGACGAACCCCAGGAAACTCTGCAACTCGGTCAGGTTGGTCGCCGCGTGCCACGCCTGAATCGTCGCAATTTTCTTCGGGTCTATTTCCACTCCCGCAGCTGAGATAACATGTCCCAAAAACTCCAGGCGGTCCTGTAAAAACTCACACTTAGATGCTTTGGTCAGTAGACGGTTCTCACTTAGGATTTGAAAAACTGCTTCGATGTCTTGTAAGTGTTGTGCTCTTTCAGGGCTGTAAATCAATATGTCGTCCAGATAAACGATGACGCATTTATCTAAAAGCGGGCGAAATGCTTCGTTCATGGTCATTTGGAAGGTGGCGGGGCGTTGGTCAGTCCGAATGGCATGACGGTGTATTCGAAGGATCCGTAGCGTGTTCGGAATGCGGTTTTAGGGCAGTCGGGTGGGTTGACGCGGATTTGGTGGTAGCCTCCCGGGAGGTCAATTTTCGAGAAAACCCGGGCTGTGCGCAGTTGGTCGATCAGTTCGTCGGCTCGCGGGATGGGGTAACGGGATTTGATGGTAACCCTGTTCAGTGCCCTGTAGTCGATGCACATGCGAAAACCCCCGTCCTTTTTTCGGTGTGAACAGTATGGGTGCGGCGAAGGGCGACGAACTAGGGCGAATGAATTCCTTCTCGAGCAGGCAATCGAGCTGCTTCCTCAGTTCGTCTAGTT